CTCTAGCCCTGCAGAGCTCCCGGCTGTGCCCAGCGCTATTGGAAAGCTCCCTCCCTCCCTTTTTCCCTCCGCGCCTTTCTGCCTGTTTGATGCAGTTTGATTCGCGAGGCTTCGCGGCCGGGGGCGTCTGTGCGGGGCGAGCCGGGCCGGGCCTGAGCGTCCGACTGGTGTTTAATCCAACCCTCTTCCAGGTATTGATATCGCGAAGAGCAAAGGAGCCCGGTACCGGCTTTGACCAGAGCTCGAAATCTGGGAGGAGCGCTTTGTTGGTTCTGGGTTTTATATGTCCCAGGTTAATTACTGAAGAACGGCCAGTAAGAAAATCCAGTCTGTAGTGCTCTAATGCCCAAAGAATCGCTTAAATAATGTGGCTGCTAGTGCAATGCAAAGCACTGTGGTTGCAAGCACAAGATCAGTCCTCTTGTCTTGGAAACGTGACCAGTACCGTTGATTTGTTGAGCTATTTCAGGGAGTCTTCACAGCAACTCTAGTGCTTTGAATTCCTCCTAGGCACAGGCTGCTGCTCTCAAAAGGAATATCTCAGCAATGCCATGGCTTTGTAAATGCTGTTGGTAGGGAGGATGTTGGCAACAGTGCTCCTGCATGTTCTGTATAAATTGCCTGTGTGGATGAGGTGTTACTTCTCTGACGCAGCTCTGGTGCTGATGTTGGCTGAATTTTTTATTTCTTGTGTTTTTATATGCAGTGGTTATGGCTGTTCGGATCACTATTATGAATCTGACACACTCTTGCATTCATTTCAAGTTCTGGCAAAGCTTTTGGAGTCTCCAGCCACTCAAGATATTATCTGTGATGTGGGAATGTAAGTTTTTTTGTGTAAGTATGATAAAGGGATAGGTCTTTAGAAATGCTGCCTCTGCTATGTTTCTGGGTAGTGAGGGCTCTGCACCAACCTTTTAAACACATCTTAGGAACTGAATTACCTTTCCCTTTTAATTACCATGACTGGAACCGCATAATGCAAAACACTTTCTGAAAGATAATCCTTTCAAAGATTTCTGGTGGTTGAGACCTTCAAGAGAGTAATAGGATAGTTACAGTTATTTATTGGGAACCTTAATGGCTGCGCCCTGTTGCCATGGGTAGAACTTCATGTTCTATGTAATGTCAAGGACTTCATAAGTTGGCTGTCTTTCAGGAATGTCAGGGCTCATGTAACTTGCTTTGCCTGGCAGACATCTTTACATTATACATGTATGTCAAACTCACTGAAACCATTGTACGTCACGTGCTGACAGTGAACAGTGATAAATTACAACTGTGAAATTAACATGTACTCCTATTTGTTAGTATTGATGCAGATGTGTAAAGCTAACTTTGTTTTCAGCCAGCCTGGTGGTATCACAGGAAGTCAGGTTTGATTAAATAAACGGTCTGCTTGTGTTTCTAAGGCATGCCAGTGATCTGGGAGTTGTTGATATATCTGAGCACCAAGCTGTGCCAAGGGAGGTTCAGGTTAGAGATAAGGAGGAAGTTCTTTACTGAGAGGGTCGTCAGAAGCTGGAACAGGCTGCCCAGGGAGGTGGTGGAGTCACCATCCCTGGATGTATTTAAAAAGCGGGTAGATGAGGTACTTAAGGATATGGTTTAGGGGGTAGACAGGAACGGTTGGACGGGATGATCTCAGAAGTCTTTTCCAACTGAGCGATTCTGTGTGTGTGTGTGTGAGACTGATGGTATGGTCAGTAACTCTGATTTTTGCAAACAACTATTTGAATTAAAAAAATAGAAGCTAAAACTTTATATATTGTTTTGTTTAATTCCCTTTAGTAATACAGTATAGAAGTGTTGTCTTAAGAATAGTTTTTGTGCAGTGAAGTAGATTCTGTAGCTTTTAAAATTTCATTTAATAGGCCTAGCCACTGCTAATTTTGCTTCTTATTCTCACAGGCCTGTTCTGCACAGAAATGTTCGTTACAATTGTCGAGTGATCTTTTTAAATAAGTAAGTAGTTTTGTATGTGTTTTGAGAGACAATACTTTAGTGTATCTTTTCAGAGACCTGTTTGGCCTTCAAGAAAGATTCATCAGTGCTATGTAGAGTGATGGAGTTGTCATCCTACTTACTAAATTTCAGAGAGACAACTGATGTTTTCCATTATCACTTTTTCCTGTCTGAATTTGTAGAAACTAAATTTCTCCTGCTTTTTGAAAGACTCCAGGAAAAAAATCTCCTTAAATCTGCAAACAGAAACTGTAAAAATTACTGTATGTAGTAGTTGTTTAATGTACATCATAGTAGACAAAAAGGGTTGTTACTAATCAGTGTTATTATTTAGTCTTGTTTGGCTCTACATCAGGTCTTAATTTGGCCTTTCTGTTTTGTTTTAAGAAAAATTCTTCTAATCAGACCAAAAATATCATTGGCAAATGCAGGAAACTACAGGGAACTGAGATGGTTTACCCCATGGAACAAAGCAAGGTAGGCTGGCTACCATTAAAATTTGGTTTAAAAACACAGCTTGCTGTTTGCAGCCACAGCAGAAGGGCTGAAATCTCTATAGTAATCCATCAGTGCTGCTACAGGGTGAGCAGCAAGACAGTCATCTACACTATGTAATTGAAGCTTATTAAATACAATCAGACTCTTGAATTGCTTAGCTGTAAGGATAAGTGTAGCTGAATGATCCTGCAACCAGTGTAGTAATACCATTTCTCATGTGTCTACTTTCTAACTGTATGCAGTTCAGGATTGGAAGAGCCTGTCTTTATCTGCTCAGTTGCTGCATTCTGTTCAATATTAAACTGGAAAACAATGTGAAATGGATGAGCTCTGTCAGAGTTTTAACGATTGCAGAGGATGAAAGCTACATACCTTATGATGCTGCAAAATACACTTGATGCTCATCTGTATCACTTGATACATCTCTGATGCAGTGCACTCATCCTGTAATCAGAGAGTGATTCTAACTCGAAGGTCTCAGTAAAGTACTCCTGAAAGAGCCCCTGAGTATCTGTCCTCTTAACCCCAGTCAATTCCAAATATGTTCCAAGTTACTCATGTAGTAGCGCTGTGAAAAGAGAAACTTTTATTTGGTATTTGATTTGTTTGATGTGTTCTTTGTTAGGTCTAGTTTATAGCTAGGATGGAACTCTGTTTACCATCCATTTCTGAAGCGAAGTGGGATGTTGCTTGCTTACAATCTTAATATTTCTGATTAATTTCACAGAAAGTATGAAGGTCCTTTTTCTTTTTAAAATGTACACAGCCTGGTTCAACTGAAGTACAATTTCGTTAATCAGTGTTAGGAGGTGAGAAAATGTGGAGATGAAAATAGTTTTTTATGCTGTTGTTTAAATAATGATATATTCACGACCTATAAACCTGCTTTAGGCACGTGGAGGAATATTTTCTACCCAGGATAATTCAGGAAGTGACTGGACAGGTAAGTTTTTAAAGGATTTTTTCTTTTTAACTTTAGCGTCTTCCAGATTCAGCAATTTAAACAACAGAATTTGTAGCATAAAACTGTAGTACACCAAATTCTGCTGTCAGTCATGTTGAAATTCATAGGTTTCAGTGATAGTTCTCAGTTATATTAAATGAGAGCATAATGTAACTGTGTTTATGTCAGTATGTGGCAGCAAATCAAATAAATTTTGAACTTGCCTCATTTGTCCTCCTACAGGACCTTGCTTGTCTTATTTTGCACAGTTCTGGTGCTAAGCTTATCTGTGCTTGAGACTAGAAATTATTGTGTTTTGAGGTAAAAAACCCTAAAAAACCAAAAAGAGTAATCTTAATTGAGAAGAGTCTAAAACTTATTTCCTGCTAAAGCATGAACGTGATTCCTAGCAAAAGACAGTCTCTGTTCTGTAGATTGGTTAATTCAAAAGCAGTTGTCCTGTCCTGAAGCAAAGCATTGGATCTGAATACTCTTGAAATTTCAACACAAAACTTCAGTACGATCCAGAAAGTTGCAGTTTAGAGCTTTCTGTGTGTGTGTGTGTGTGTGTGTAATGTGATTGATATTGTGTCACTCATTTCACATAACTGAATATTCAACTTTTTATTTTTTTTAGATTTGTAGTTAACTTTTTGAATGGAATAGATTTTTCTATTACACGTGCATAAAGATGTTCCTGTTTTTTCTCAGGAAACTGTTCCTTTTGGAGATGCAGTGCTAGCAACCAAAGATACCTGCCTAGGGACAGAAATATGTGAAGAACTCTGGGCACCAAACAGGTAAAGGAGAAGAAGAAATGAAAAGTAAACTAAAATATACCCTGGACCTGCCTGAAATAAATGTTTGAGAAAATCTGCTTATTATTCTATGTAATATATCTTTCAGAAAGTGCCAGTAAGCTAAAATATAATTAGAAGCAATAAATACATCATGGGAAAGATTTCACTAGGCTAGATGCAGGATGGCAAAAAAGTTGTAGGTGGTTAAGCTAAGTACATTTGAAACAGAAGGCAGGAGAGAAATACTGAAAAGCAGCAGAATGAAAGAGGCGATCTAAATTACAGATAACTGTACAGATAGCTGCTCACATTCCAGATGCTGTTTATCTTTTAGTTCAGCCTGAGTTTGAAATGTCCTCTCTGGATCCATCTCTTAACTTGATCTAGGGTCAAAGTGACAAAATTATTTTGTGTCAATTTGTATTGATTTTGTCTAGTAATTATAATCCTGTATTATTCCCACTTACTGTACCTAGTCTCAAAAGTTTGAGACTACTAGTAGGTCTTTTAATTTATTCTTTTTATTTTTGGCTTTGGCCAACTTCTTCAAAGTGTTCCTCTTAACTGACAAATCGATCTCTTATATTTGAAAAGCTAGAGCATAGGCTTCTAGGCAACATCACTTTGAGATATATTGCTTATTTTTCACTGTTAGCTTAATCCTTCTGCTTTATTTTTACCCAGCATCAGACAACACAGAAGGAAACAACAAGAAGTCACTAAGGGAAAGCAAAGCCTAGTGCCCTAAAGTAATATTTCCTGTTATTATTTTAGTCCCTGTTACAGCTGAAAGTTCTTCCCAGTGACAAAGAAGATCCCATTCACAGAGCTCTGATGTGGGGTGGGAGATATGGTTGCATGAAAGGTGTTGCAGTTAACACAAAATAAACAAAATGTTCCTGATGCTTTTCCAGATCTCCCAGTTACAGACATTCCTTTTCTTGTAACTGCAGAAGGTGTGGTGTGTTACAGACAAAGATGTGATTTTTTTCGTGTTTGTCTTTTGACACTGGAAAAAGAAAAATGCAGTACAAGTTGTTTTCTCATGCTTCTGTTTGCTTATGCTTTTGGATTTACTAAGAGAGAAGGAAAACGAGACAACTGACCTTGCAAGAGTATCTCCATGTTGCCCTTTCAAACCAAGGTTGTCTTATTCTCTCTTTGTTTGAGACCCAGGCTTCTATAGAGTACAGGAGAAAGCATTTCATTTAGAGCAGAATGAGCAAAAGCTCTTCTGCCCTCAGCAACCACTACTGGTTTTTGACACAAGAGTGAGGCAACGCAAGAAAACTGATGTTTTCGAGACCCCTGTCCTTGTTTGAGCTAAGGCATGCAGAAAACGGTCAATGACATCGATATTTTTGTCAGTGGTTTTAAATGATACGTGCAGTATTCACAGAATAGTATTGCCAGCTGAACTTTTTTTTGCCTTTTGCTTTGACAGCCCTCACATTGAAATGGGACTTGATGGCGTGGAAATTTTCACTAACTCTTCAGGGAGTCACCATGTGCTGCGGAAGGCGCACACCCGGGTGGATTTGGTGAATTCTGCCACAGCAAAGGTATATGCTTGAAAAAATACATTAATTTTCTGGTTATGCACCTCATTTTATTATATTTTGTTTTCAGAACAGTCTGTTCTCCTGTGACAGGACATATCATGAGTGTGGGGGCCTCGGTAGTCCTTGTTGTTAGTTTCGTGTTTTCTTACCTGTAATTACCTTTTCTGATTGAATCAGCTGTATGGAACGAGCTCTCTGTCTGGAGGATTGCACTTCTGTGGGGCGCCCTGTGATATATCATGCTGTAATACGAAGCTCTGTAACTTATTTGCAGCTCTGTGACCCCAAATGTCAGAGGCTGTTTGATTGCAGGTCAGCTCTGATCTGTGGAGCAGCAGATCAGAAGAGAGGCTCTTTGGTATTTGTATGGGAATAGGGGAGATACAAACCTACCTGTGTATGTGTGGAGGGAACTCCCAGAAGAAACTTTGTATGGGAACACATAGTTCTGCACTTGCATGCCAACTGTCTTTCATGCACATCTATAAAAAAGAGTCAGAATACCTTAAAACAGTTTGACAACTCCCAGCTCTGGAGACTTATGCTCCAAAAACGTATTTGATGTCCTCAATCTTAATTCCAATAAACAAAGAAGGAAAAAAAATTGCACTTGTATAACGGATAGAAAACAGTTAATCAGAGTAACTGACTTTCTGTAATTGGAAGTATGAAATGTTGAATCGACTGCGTACAGAGAATAACCATCTTGAAAGGGTGGTGTTGAATGCACATTCTGCAAAAAGGACAACCAAGCAGTGGTATATTAGTAACTGTATCGGGAAGGGGAGATAAAAATCAGTGTTTAAACGAATTCATTCAGACTTCATTTTTTCCCTGTTATCTTCTTACTTAAAATATATTATGTTTTTCTACTTTGAAAGTTCTCTTTATTTTAAAGAAGAGAACACATTTAGTGGTAAGACTGTAATAGTATTTAACATGGGGACAAAAAACAAAGTAATGGATGTACATTACACTGAAAAATGTTGAATCTGTACCACTGCTTTGTAATTGTAATTTAACATGCTTTGGTTATATTTTACAGTATCTGCTCTGTCTTCAGCTATCCAAACACAGCTTCTGTTGTCATCTTCTTCCTTTTCTCAATTTCATTTTCAACTTAGAATTTCAATTTAGAAGTGCAGCCCTCTCTCTTTGGGGCTGACTCTTGCTAATAACAGAAAACTCCTGTCTTCCAACAGTGTGCAAGCGATAGAGCTTACTTACTACATTTACTTATGTAATTACTTATTTGTTGTGCATGTCACTATAAAAAGTACTTTTTCAAAGTACAAGACAAGAGAGAGTCCCAGCTGTAAATCATTCACAGTTTAAAGACAGGAAGATTATAAGAAGGACAGGAACAGAGAAATAACATTTTATCTTTTAACATTCTGTCAGGTGCTATATTTTGAAAAGCATTTTTTTTGTCTGCATGTTTGTTTTCCGCACAGAATGGTGGAATATATGTTCTAGCTAACCAGAAAGGCTGTGATGGTGATCGTCTGTATTATGATGGCTGTGCCATGATTTCAGTGAATGGAGAAACAGTTGCACAAGGATCCCAGTTTTCACTCGATGATGTGGTAATGTATTCAACCTATAACTGCTAATTACAGCTGAAATTAGTACAGCTACATTTATGCTCAACACTTTCCAGACATTGCAGATACTAGATCTGTGTCTAGACTAAAAAAGGTGTTTTTTTACTATGCTATTCAGCTAGATCCAAGGTTTTCCCTAGTCAGATTGCCCAGACCTGAGCTACAGGTTTGCTGCTTTTGTGAGCGAGGAAGAGCTGTCACAGTGGAAGAACTTCATGAAAATATTTGTCTATTCAGTCACCATGTTTAGGAGAGACCCTGTTAACTTATAATCCCTTATCTAAGGAAAAAAAAAAGGTAAAGGTTACAGTGTTCTAATTATGACCTGATTTGGTAGACAAAAGGTTTGCTAGGTTGAGCTTTACTTCAAAAAGCCTTTTCTCAGTAGTTTTGTCATCAAAGCTGTGGATTTCCTCACATGTGCCAAATTAATCTCTTTCCTTAGTATGGTACTTGCCTTTTCCTCTTGTCCTTTGCTGCTGCTGATAGTGAACCTATTGTTCAGCCATCTGACAAACGCTATGCATTTGTCGTGGTTTTGGAGCATCCTGGTGTACTTGATGCAGTGAGTCAGTTGTGTTTGCTTAAAATCTGTGTTGGAAAAAGTTGCATGTATTCTTCTTCCCCTGCATTTTTTGTATGCTATCAGACATTGTTTTTCTGTTTGTGTAGAATCTGATGTTGAAATCTTTTCCATAGGAGGTGCTGGTTGCCACTCTGGACTTGGAGGATGTTCGAAGTTACAGAGCAGAGATTTCATCTCGTAACTTAGCAGTAAGAATTCTTTACGGAGGTTATGTTTGTAAACTCTGCCAAGTTTGAATAGTTATTGAATTTTAAAAGTATTTGCATGTCTTGATTTTCACAGTATTCTATAGATCTGATGTTTTATAGGCATATGCTGCATTAAAAGTAATGCCTTCTCAATTCTTCTGTCCTACTGCTTAGGCAAGTAAAGTGAATCCTTATCCCAGGGTAAAAGTGAATTTTGATCTGTCATCTTCTGATGATGTAGCTGTACCTACTTGTATGCCAATCCAGTGGAGACATCATAGTCCTGAGGAGGAGATCAGGTAAGCACATCCCGATCTGTTGCTTGAAAATTATTTTGATTTAAAAAAACAAAACCCAAAAGCTCAGATAAACAAACAAAAAAGAGAGATAAATGTAAGATCTTACTTATATTTAAGTAAAGAAAGTATTTCATTGGTAGACAACAGTAAATATGTTGACTTACTTAGATCTTATTCCATAACCCTCTTGGAATAAGCATATTCTGTAATTTCAGCCTTGGTCCTGCATGTTGGCTTTGGGACTATTTAAGGCGCAGCAAACAGGTAAGAAATGTTTTTGTTCTTTACCTTGGCATTCACATCACCTTCTGTGCCATAGGGGCAGTACACATTGCTGCACATTCTGTGCTGCTGTTAATGGAAAGTGATATTAGTCCAAGGTGCAAGGTTTGAGTTTTTCACTGGTAACTCGTTCAGTCTTAAAACCTGTATGCAAAGTGTGACTTCAGTGTGCCCTTTAGTTTTTTTCCTTAGGAATCATGCTTTCTTTGAAAGCAAGAGTCGAGCTTACCTAATAAAGGGCATTTCTTTTTCTTTGAAACACTTCTTTAAGTAAGGAAAATATTTTAATGGCATAATAGAGATGCTTAAAATAAGCAGTGTGACATGAACTAGTAATTCAGTTTAATAGTGAAATATATATGACAAATTTATTCCCTCTAATTAGCTTTTCTGTCTTACTAGAGAGTAAAGAAATACTTGAAGTTTTTCTAGCCAGAGGGTTTACAGTAACTAGAGATGAGAGTTTAAGAGGGTTTGATATGTCTGGTTTATTTGTTTGTTTTTCCCCAGTAGAATATAAGCAGACTTGAACAATGCATGTGTAATTCTTTTACAAGAGTACATTTCTGAATAGAACAATACATATTTTTCTAATTTTGCAATTTAGAATATCTTCCTTGCTCTATTTTCAAGGCAGGATTTCTCCTACCTCTTAGTGGTGGAATTGACAGCTCTGCTACAGCTTGCATAGTATATTCTATGTGTCACCAGGTTTGCCTGGCAGTCAAGAATGGAAGTAAGTGGATATGCATGTCTGGCTGGCCATGTTTACTTGTGGTTACAGACAAGTTAATATTAGCTGGGTGCAATAGATGCAAAGGGTCATTAATAGTAGACTCTTGCCCAGTTGTTCTAATGCAGTCCTTTGTATCTCTTCAGATATTCCAGCAAGAATATGCGTCCAGATTTCAGGTTCTTTGAATTGGCTTAGTAGTTTCCATTTTGGGTATAAGAATTGGATGTGGAACTTAGTCTAGTTTCTGTCTAGATTATCATTCAAAATGTTGGCTGATGTAGTTTTGAGATTTCAGTTTGTCATGAGAATTTTCTCCTATTAAATTTAGTGCCACAAAACATGATTAGACATGGTTCAAGCTCTTACACTAGCTCTGAGTAGACTATATGCATTTAGCTAAGCTTTTGTATGTGTTTGATCATGTTTTCTGTGAAGTTTCTTTTAAGGCATAGAACAAAAGCATTTAATATTTTCATGTTCAAAATTAGATTCAAAATCAAGAATTCTTTTATTTGATACATGAAAAGATGTTTGGAGAGTTAGATGGAGTAATTTTATTTATGATGGGCAGTGTAAAGCTTAATTGGAATACAAGAAACATGCAAGATGCTTGCATATCCTGGATAGCAGGAGCACAGCAATTTCCACCATTGTTCTATTTCTTTTGCTTTGTCCTCAGATGCAGATGTGCTGGCTGATGCGCGCAGGATTGTGAGCGATGAGACCTATGTCCCTGAGGATCCTCGAGAATTCTGCAAGCGTATCTTTACCACTTGCTATATGGCTAGCGAGAACTCATCCCAGGATACTTGCAATAGAGCTAAACTTCTGGCTGAGCAAATAGGCAGGTACAAGTTGAGAAATACTAGAGAAAAAAATAAAAATAAAAAAAGACTTTAGTAGAAAACTTTCAAACTCTGAAATGGGAAAAAAATAGGAGAGGAAGAGAAAGCGTGTTAAGTAGGAGTATTACAGACATTATTATTTAAGGTTGTAAATGTGAGGCAAACTTAGAAGTATTTGGTGAAGAATGTGGATATTTGGAAACAGACTCTGGAAAGTGTTCTTCTTTCCTAAATTTCTTCATACTGGATCTTAGATGGTAGCAGCCTTAAAACATCATTTGATGGGTGGGTTTTTACCTTTTTTAAAAAAAATGCTGTTTTATAGTCAGGTTGTGCTAGTTGATTTACTTCTGCTTGAATTCTTCTCAGCTATCACATCAATCTGAACATAGATGCAGCTGTGAAAGCTATTGTGGGAATTTTCAGTGTGGTGACAGGTCGAACTCCCCGGTTTTCTGTCTACGGAGGGAGCAGCAGAGAAAACCTAGCACTCCAGAATGTGCAGGTGTGTTTCATGTAGGCTGAATCAGGTCAGACTTTTTTTTTTCCCTTTTTTTCGGCTTTTTGCAGTGGGATAGGCTTTTGTCACAGAGGAGTGTGGCGATTTGCTTAACAGCACACATAATTTTAGCTAGAGCTGGATGTTGAATCTCAGGTCTATTTGATATTATTACCATCCTTAGAAGAAGATGAGTTTCAGAATGGGGACAAAAGCAAAGAGAACTTTTAATAAATTTTATGTAAATAAATCCACTTAGTCTAATACTCCGTAAAGGGTGTGGTCATCCCTCATGGATCCTTATTAGTGCTTTTAGGACGTAGAAAATGGTAACTACTCCCCATTCTGCAATTCAGAGTAGAAAAAACTTGCTCAGTCATGTGAGGCCGTGGCAGTAGTGGATACTGAACCTGGCTTTCCTAAATGTGTTCGTCGTCTTCTCCACAGGACCATGCTTCTTGTAGTAACGCTTAACCCTCTTGCATTTTGTTCTTTATGGGTTTGTTTAGAGAATTGATTAATAAAAGTGATTAGAGAGAAATTATTCTGCTTTGTAAATTTTTCATTTCGCTTTGCAGGCTAGAATAAGAATGGTCCTTGCCTACCTGTTTGCTCAGCTGGCACTTTGGACTCGTGGGATGCCAGGGGGACTTCTGGTGCTAGGATCAGCCAATGTGGATGAAAGGTTGGTGAAAGACAGAAGTGTAAATTCAGGTGAACTGGAAAGAGGCCACTGCATTTCCTTGCAACTCTACCAGATCCCAGTGTAGATTATTACTCAGAAGAGGTAACAAGCTAAGAATATACTGATAGCAGTGAAATGAATGAAAATTGAACTGGCCTGAATGGAAAATTGTCTGTTTTTCAGAAGTTTACAGGCAAAGTATTGTCATGGTTTTCCAGTAACTGCAGTTCTTTCCTTAGCCATTTTCAGTAGAGCCTCCCTGTGCAGTTACCGGGTTAACTTTTCAATCTGTTATTTGTTGTATTTACAATTACAGTAGTAGAAATTAAATTAATTCAAGGGAAATGTACCAGAGATGGAAAAGTGGAACATCGCCTGTTGAAAGTTACAAAGGCATTGCCAGGGCATGCAGGGATGCAGTTAGGGAAGCAAAAGCTTTTTCCCAATGAGTGGGGTAGTTGACACTCCAGAAGGGAGAGCCACCCTCCAGGAAGACCTGGACAGACTGGACGAGTGGGCTAGCAGGAACCTTATGAAGTTCAACACGGACAAATGTAAGGTCTTGCACCTGGGAATACATAGTCCAGGAATGCAGCTGAGACTGGGTTCCACCTGGATAGAGAGTAGCCCTGTGGAAAGGGACCTGGGGGTCTTGGTGGATGACAAGCTCAAAATGAGTGAACAGTGTGCTGCAGCTGTAAAGAAAGCCAGCAGGATGCTGGGTTGCATTAAAAAGAGCATCACCAGCAGAGATAAAGAAGTCACTATCCCTCTCTACTCAGCACTAGTCAGACCACACCTTGAGTACTGTGTCCAGTTTTGGTCCCCGCTACACAGAAAAGATGTGGACAGGTTGGAAAGGGTCCAGAGAAGGGCCATGAGGATGATCAGAGGACTGGAAGACCTGCTGTATGAAGAAAGGCTGAGAGAACTGGGCCTGTTCAGCCTTGGGAAGAGAAAGCTTAGGGGGACCTTATTACCATGTACAAGTACATAAAGGGTGGCTACCAAGAAGATGGAGACTCCCATTTCACAAGGAGTCACATGGAAAAGATGAGGGGTAACAGACACAAGTTGTTTCTGGAGAGATTCCTACTGAACTCCAGAAGAAATTTTTTTTACCATGAGATCAATCAGACATTGGAACAATCTCCCAGGGGAAGTGGTAAATCCCCCTACACTGGTCAGTTTTAAGAGTCTGCTTGACAGGGTGCTGACTCATCTCATTTAAACGATACTTTTACCTCGAGAGGTCAGACCAGATGATCCTTGTCGTCCCTTCCAAGCGGGTATTCTATGATTCTATGAAATTATGAACTTTGAGTTGACAAGTAGATTTTTAAAATCTGGAGTACTTTATTAGAGCTGACTATTTGAAGATTAAAGCAATCCCCATAAGATTGTGGGACTGCTAACCTCAAAAGCTGGGAGATTAGTGCGTGCTGATTCTATGGGTGTTTTGGGATTTATTTTTTTAATTAATGAGGACAGAAAACAATTTTAATTGTTTGCATCAAGTAAGTTATCTTAGCATGGGCAGTTTTGCAGTGCTTCAAATTAAAATTTAATGGCTTTAGGATAACCCTGTTGCAGCTGAACACCTGTTTACCTCTTATTGTATAAATATGTTAACAATACACAGTCTATTTCTCCCTGTCTTTATACAGCATACACATTCTACATAGTATAAATAATTATATATTATACTAATGTTACTTTATTCTTTACTATTACTATATAAAATCTCCTCTCTTGCTCAGTCTCCGAGGTTACTTGACAAAGTACGATTGCTCAAGTGCTGATATCAATCCCATTGGTGGAATCAGCAAGACTGATCTGAAGAACTTCATACAATATTGCATTGAAAATTTTCAGCTCACAGCCCTTAGAAGGTGAGTAGTGAAGCAGTGATACTTGGTCACTGTGTATATGGCATACTGTGGACTTCACAGTCTGGTTTTCTCTACTAGAGAACTAAGCTGTAGTAATATTGCAAATGCTAACAAAGAAAAGTATGCTGCACATCCCTCTGCTTTTAAATGATTGCGTACACTTACACAATGTAAACTGCTGGGTGCTGAAAATGCCGCCAGTCTTAGGAGTTACCATATGCAAGCATTTGTGTTGTGCACTGAAGAAACTGCTTGAACCAGTTCCTTTACGTTGTTGGTGTAAAGCATTGGTTTTTAAACCTGGAACAGCTTGCAAGTACCACTTCTTTAGAGTTAGCTAGTTCTTTAGCAGTTTATGCCCTGAAAAAGTTTTGAATAAAGCATTTGCTTTTCAGCAAACCAGATTGTTTATTAATTAGTACTCATGAGCCTGGACAGAATTAATGTTTTTTTTTTTTTACCTTTTTCTTACAGTATCATGTCAGCTCCACCCACTGCAGAGTTAGAGCCCCTTGTGGATGGACAAGTGGCTCAAACTGATGAGGTAATGGTGATTTTGAAATGTTCCCAAGAAATCATTTTTTGTCCAATAACTATTGTTTGCTCATGTATGTATCCGTGCTTATTGATAAACATGTTGTAAACAATCTTAAAGCTGCTGACAAGGCACTAGTATCCCATACTAGGATCATAGAATGGTTTGGGTTGGAAGGGATCTTAAAGCTCATCCAGTCCTATCCCCCTGCCATGGGCAGGGACACCTCACACCAGACCAGGTTATCCAAAGCCCTGTCCAACCTGACCTTGAACACTTCCAGGGACAGGGCATCCACAACTTCCCTGGGCAACCTGTTCCAGCTTTATCTATGTTGACAACAGTTTCCAAAACAGCAAGTAACTTTTTTAAAAAAATTATTTTATATTTTGGGCACTTAAAAGGATGGATGTTCTGAAAGTCTCTTTGTTTTATATTTTCTTAATATCAGAAGAGAATCAGTCAGGGCCTTACTGCTATTAAAGCAACTGGGGCAAAGCCCTTCCTCTTCTCCCTGTACCCTCTTTGCTATCCACTTGGATAAGAGAGAACTGCTAAGTCTAACAACTACCTCTAAGGGGTGTTGAATATTTAACTGTAGGGTATTGTAAAACTCTTTATGATAAAGCAAAAGATTGCTGAGTTTGAATTAGTGGTTTTCTTCATTTGGCCTTACCTTGCTGATACACACTACATTTAAGCTACCTGGAAGGGAAAATGAACAAATCTTTCTCAGGAAAGAAATGTTTTCACTGGCCAAATCAAATACATTCATTGTAGAATTTAAAATCTCCTGTTTCAGAGAAAGATCTTTTTTTTTTGCTTCTGCTCATAATATTACCATCTCTTTGTCTTTTTGATCATTGGCAATTTCATTTTGGTGTTTCTTTGATTAAACTGGGTTATTGTAGTGGCTCCATAAGACTACTGATTGTAATTTGCATGGTTAAGATTTTTAGTGACTTGCTTTGTGTGTGTTTTCAGGCAGATATGGGGATGACATATGCAGAGCTCTCAGTCTATGGCAAATTAAGAAAAATAGCAAAGGCTGGACCATACAGTATGTTCTGTAAGCTGATTAATATGTGGAAGGAAATTTGTACTCCAAGAGAGGTAATATACAAAAAAATTTTGAAATATCAAATCATGTAATGTCTTTGCCAAAATACAGTGTGTTTGGAGACAGGTTGAATTGAATTCCTTTTAACTTAAAAGGGTACTTTAATTATTCTGAGTTTTGAGATTATTCTACTGCTGTAGCAGAATATGCTGGAAAAACTGATATGCATTTCTTGAATTAATGGAGCTTGTTGTCTGTGTTGCAAATTGTTAGAACAATAATTGGGTAATTACTTCAAAACTATACCTTCAGGGGAAAACTGTTCTCTGAAATATACACAGCTAACTACTCATGAAGCCTTTGGTTACGTATTCTGAGGCAAAAAATGGTTCTTGCTTTGAAAGATTACCTACACTGAAGAGGTATCTGCTTTGCTGTCCAGCAATTCTTCCCTTCTTGTGCATAAAGGAAAAAGTTCAGATTGTCACCTGAATTGCAGAGCTTAGTGTTGTATTTCTTACAAGGCACTTCCTTATTGGTAAACGATAGGTGCAGAGATGGAGGCAGTGTCTGAAAATGATCTGAAATGCCTCTTACAGGGAGAGTCATTTACAGTGATTCTTGCTGGTAGTGGCAGATAAGTTGTGTAAATGCTAACGGAAAGAAATGGATGTGTAAAGCTACAATACAGTCTCCAAAATTTTGTTCTCTGATTTTTTTAAAATACTAAGAAACCTCATCTGATTAAAGCTATATTCTTTGTACACCAGGTGGCATCAAAGGTTAAGCATTTCTTCAGGATGTATTCAGTTAACAGACATAAAATGACCACCCTCACTCCTTCCTACCATGCTGAAAACTACAGCCCGGATGACAACCGATTTGACCTGAGGCCTTTCCTTTATAACACCGCGTGGTCCTGGCAATTTAGGTGCATAGATAAACAGGTAAATGCCCTCTACTCCTTGTATGGTTTTATATTTCAAGTCCTTGCAGTGGGAGAAGCCCAATTCTAGTGCATCGCCAGCAAAAGACAACTAGAATTTAGGATAATAGTTACTACAGAAATAGCCGTGGTTGTTCTTTTGACAAAACTATGAGGCTAAGAATTCTCTAGTTTCAGTGTAGGCTGGGTTTTTTTTTTCATTGTTAAGTACAGCTTGCTATGAAGGCAAGAAGAAGAGGAAAAAAAAAAGAGAATATATGTATTGAGACCAAACACAAATAGGTGTACACATACACATCAAGTCTTGTGCGAATGTGGAGAACAAGCTTATGTGTTTCAGTTTCAGTTCAGGACCTGTCTGAAGGGATCTATTTAATTGCAGGATTAAGACTTGACCTACATCTGCGTGAGAAAAGCCAGTAAGAGGCAGCAATTCATTGTGAATGCTTCTCCCACCTGCTTCTACAACAATTTCTTTTTTGAACCTTCAAGTCAGTTGACTCACAAATACGGGTTTGCTCAAATACAGCAACAGTAATGGTGCAGCGCTTGGTTTGAGCACTGTGAGGTGTGGAGGTGTTCAGGCAACTATCAAAACCATGCTTAGGTTTTTGTAGTTTTCAGTCACACCTCTGACATTATTTTAATGCATTTTTTATATGGCAAAAGTGCTGGGCTGAAGAGTTTTAGCACCTTGAAGTTTTTTTCTGCCAGAGATTTTACACCTCAGTTGCTTTTAAGAATGTTTATATATGTAATAAAATATTAATTCCCTCATCTGTGAAATGCCAGACATGATGTAATAGTGTTTTATTGCCTTGAAACCTAGGATAAAAGCTACCACGTGCAGCGCTTTTTTGTAGGTCTGTATGGTGGGTTTTTTCTGTCATTTTGGACTTTTTCCCACTGAAGTCCAGGGCAGAAGTTCTTTTGGCCTCAGTGGGAGTTGGATAAAATATTTTTGTAGGGTCTGGACCAAAATGTAATTATTTTATGCTTACAGTAAATGTGATTAAGATCTTTTCATGATCTAGGATATTGTTACACTCTTTAACTAGATTTGTATGAAATAGCAGTTGTGCTGTGCAAGGGCACTGGCCATTGCAACTTACTCCTGAAAACTGGGAGTCCAATCCAGGGAAGAATCTGTTACGTAGGCAACAGTAACCTCAACTGATAAAGTTCAGCAGTAACCTGAGCTGATAACTCATTGTTACAAATAGCTTTTTGCAAGACTGGACTTGCAATAATGTGAGTCAAATCTGGCCTGTTCAATAAAGGGAATACTGTGAGAGTTTCCACTTACTGTGCATATTCGGCACAACTGTAATTCTGAAGAGAATCACTCTCTAGGACAATATTTCACTGATAATTATGCTCTTGGGACTTAATCTGCACTTCAGGTTTTTTTGGTGTTGTAACAGGACTGTGAAAATAAGGCATAAACTCTAAATGATGTTTAAAAAAACACCTTTAGTTAGGTAATGCCAGATATTCCTGTAGAAGAGTCATATTACAGCTTGAGCTCATTTGTGAAGGGAAGTGGCTTGGAGTGCTAATGATAGAGAAATCTGGTGGATTTATGGAAAGTACTCCTCTGCTTTGGACGTTTGTAGTGTAGTCAAGCCAATTTAGTTATCCATGCTTTTAAGTGCAAAATTCCCCCTACACTTGCTGCAGAAGGAGCAGAGGAGGTTGAGATCATAGCATTTGCTGGGTATTGCTAGATTTGTCCTTGGAGTCTTAGTGTCATACAGCTCTACTTAGCTGAAGGCTCTACCTGAGTGATGAAATTTCTTGTGGTTTAGAGCAACCCTAGGAACTCCAGTAGCACTGTCTGTAGCTTCTGCCTTCTGAGTTATGTCTGAGGTAAAGGATGTGTGGTCAGAGCAGACACCATTTCTGGGTGCCAGAATGTTCACTGGGATTTTAATAGCTGGCATAAATTGAAGGGACTGTGGCATAGCTCAGAAGAAAGCTGTCACAGTTACCCCCAAGAATTAGGTACTGGTCATACCACAGGATTAGCTGTGTTTGGTCAAACCAAAAGATTTGCAACCTGCAACCTGCATGTCTTTGTCCATGTCCTTCACAACCAGTAGCAGATGTTGAAGGAAGAACGTAAGAACAGGGAATATATAATATGACCCTCCCTATATATCTCCATAGATTTGGGGAATGTAGAACTGAATTTTTTAGAGTTAAAGATAACGTGCAGAACATGGTGTTTAGTTTGTGCTCTTGGTCTTTCCTCCATGAGTTTGTAGAATCCTTTCTGGAACTCTTTATATTGTTAGTCTTAACAACAGCTTAGGTTAATATAAGGTGATTCCTTAAGTTTTCAGAACAGTAAAGGTCAGTTTTATAAAATTGTGTATGTGTGCATGAAAAGCATTTCCTGTGTATTGTTTTAATTATTCTAGACTGACTGTTACGGGCAGGGTTTCAGGTTATGGCCTGATGTGATCTGACAGTTGTCACTGAAAGGCGCAGTGTTCTCTCTCTTTCTGTCTCTCCTGGCTTCTGAGATGGTTTTGGTGCTTATGTCACTCCTTGGTCAGCCAAATGAAGTCACCAAACTGACAAAAAGCTCAGGAACTGATGGGTGCATGCAGCTGGGAGGAGGTTAAGGGGCTGGGTGGGAAGAAAGTTTGACCTCCTCTTTTGACTGCAACTTATATCCTGTTCAGCTCAGTTGCCTCCTAGAGCGTATGTGGCTGTCAGTTCCTGATAAATCTGGACTCTACACTGTTTTGTGATGGAAATCTGAAAAGATAGGAGATATTAAATGCAAACTTATTTTTACTATTGAATCACTTTCCTTTTCACTTGCAGGTATCCAAGCTAGAAAAAAAGGAAGGAATTTCTCTAGCTGAAGACGTGGACTGATTTTTCTGTCTTGTTTAACTCTGGTAATCAGTTTGCTAAGCAGAATCCTCAAAACTGGAGTATACTGTGAAGATGAGTGGAGATGACCCAAACAATTCTTGAAATGACCACTGTAAATCATATTTGTAATAAAATAATTTTTTTTTGTTGACTCCATTTTGTTCTCAATATACTTAAACCGTAGTTTGGCTAAGAATCATATATTAAAGAGTTTCTTCAACTACTCAAGTTAATTGCGTTTAATTGAAAATATTTGGATAAGCACATCAGTCATAAACAAATGCAGAGTAGTCTTTTTTGGAAGTCTATACATGTACAAATATTAAGTTTGGTTCCAAATAACTTGTATATGATTTCTGAATAACATTCAGCTGAAAGTATAAAATTTTAACAGTTCTGGCATGTGCTGTTGAGGGGGAAAAACTGATTTTACTGTGCAATAAACTTGTAATTTTATAATGCTAATTGACTTGGTTCTTATTTTACATGGTTTTTATTTATCTAGCATTGGCTATGTAGACTGATCCAGTGTTTTGAATGGCCTCATAAACTCTTAATTCAGCAAGGTATTGGTAGCATGTCTAACTTGAAGCAGGTGGGTAATCTTGTTAGTGGGTGAAATGTGTTTTGGTGCATGGTATCTTAAACAAAGAGGACACAAGTTTAGTATCCATGAAACTGTTGCTACTTCTGTATGCTCTGGTGCTGCCTGTCCAGGAGCTGTGATCTGTTATCACTGACCATGCCATCTGTGAGTTATTGGACTTGCCCGCATAATCCCTTTACTGTTGAAATCAAGCTCACCTAGTGTAAAACATCTGTAATTGGAGGAAATATTGCAGAAGGAACTATAAAGCCAGCTTCCTGTGAGCTCAATTAGTGCATTACCCACCTTCCACCTACTGTTTGCAAAAAGCTGTTTTAACATCGTTACTTCACTGATCTTTTAAATGTGTCCATTGCTGTGGAACAATAAAAAAGGTATAAAGATAGACTTGTTCTTCCTTCACTTGAATCTCTTTTCTGCTTGTTCATTTAATGTGTAGCTATTTCTGTTGCTTTGTAAAACTTTGATTTGAAAGATAAACTTTTAATAGGGGAAGCTAGAAATGCATTTTTGAGGTTCTGGGCAAACAATACTATAACTGTGACAGCAGGGGAGCTTAAACCAAGCAAGACTTTTGTTAAAATGGTTGTACATTGTGCTAATGGAAAATGTCTGCTAAATGATGTGTTCTCCACATTTGTTTTTCACAATCCAGAAAGACACAGTTGATTCATTTAGAGGTAAAGATGCTGCACTGGTCTTGGTGGGTTTATTATATGGTATTCATTTAAATGTATAGCTAACTTAGTGGATGTTGCTGGTACGAAGAATGATTATGTTTGTCTGACGGAAAACCCCAGCTGACATTTGTCTTCCTTCACCATCAGTTGGTCACTTCCACTTCTCATTCCAGCCAGAGGGAGTGGATGAATTTTTAACACAAGTTCAGGAATCCATTTTATATTTGAAGGCTTCTTATTTCGTTTTCTTCATGAAGTTATTGATTCTCTTTCCTGACAAACATAGAAAAGAGGAAACCTTTGGTTTCATTCAAGTAAAAAATAATAGCAAAAATAACACAATGTTAACATGTGCTTCCCGTTACTGTGGTTACCCCGGATATTTCAGACATTTGGTGAAAGGACACTCGTGTTTCTTAGCAATGGCACTTACAACATGTGTGCAAATTATCTTTTATTTCTTACCTGCTACTGCTGAATACAGATCATAGCAGCCCACCCCTACTTTCCTTTACTGTCCTGAAATTTTCACTGTACCTGTTCCATCTGTTATCAACACCACCTTCATTTTATCAGTGCTTTGCCGTCTACTGAGAATGGGAAATAACTAAATGTATACCTGCTGATGTTCACTTTTTACTAGTGCTGACTATTGTGGTAATGCCATCAAGTTTTCTTTTTTTTTCTTAAGTTTCTCCAAAAAGCTGGATCTGACCTGACTTACTTAGAACTCAGTGTAAAACTGTGATTTTTTTGACCCATTGGATGTGCAGCTGGAGTCAAAAACTACCCCCTCACTTATTAAAGAGTAGAGGATGGACCTACTGCAACTGCTCAGGTTGGAATACCAAAACGAGCCATTGGTACACTTTCCTGCTCACTGTTATGCTGCCATAGCTCCCAGTGTGTGGCAGAAAACGTGTTTGTCAAATTATCCTGACATCTACTCTTATGAAATTGCAGCTTTATGAAATTGATCAGTGAAAGTGTGTATGAAGAGGACCATTAGGAAAGGGGGACAGCAGCAAAAGTGAAGGAACTTTTAACTTAGCATAAGCTAAGTTTGTAGTTGCTTCTGGGATGCCTAGGTGACTAAATACAAATTAATTAGCTTCTGCATGGACTGTAAGCAATTTTTTAAGAATGTGAATACAAGCAGGAAGCAATAATTGATAACCTCGCTATTACTTTCTCTATAAATCCTAAACCTAAGCCCAGCTCGGCCACGGTGTTGTTCCGCAGCTCCCCGAGGCGGTGACTGGCTTAGAGTTATGCTCAGCTGGGGATACCGAGTCTGCATCTTCCGCGAGGTAACTCCTCTTGAGGGATATTTTCAAAAAATCGTCAGTGACATCTGGAATCTGCTCTCGTAAGCTCAGGGGAAGAACCAGCACTTTTTACCAGAGACTTGCTGTCACAGCTTCATCAGGGCTATTGTCAGAGGGTGTAGGGAGGCT